TTCTGGGATTCACATTTAGGTCTTTAATACATGCTGAGTTGGTTTTTGTACATGGCATGAAATAAAGGTCTTGTTTCAGTCTTTTGCATATCGATCTCCAGTTCTGCCAGCACCATCTGTTGAAAAGACTATCTGCTCCCCATGCAATGTACTTAAATCCTTTGTCAAAGATCAATTGGATATATGTGGATGGGTTAATTTCTGGATTCTCAATTCTGTTCCATTAATCTATGTAGCTTTCATTGCACCAGTATTAGGCTGTTTTGACTACTGTAGCCGTGTATGAATTTGTAAATCAGGGAGTGAGATGCTTCCAACTTTGATGTTCATCTTAAGCAGCTTTTCCTGGGTCTCATTCCTTTCCATATAAAATTTGTAATTGTTTTTTCCATCTCTTTGAAGAATGTTGTTGGAATCTGGATTGGTGTTGCATTATATGTGTAAATTGCTTTAGGTAGTATTGACATTTTCACAATATTAAGTCTTCCTATCCAGGAGCATGGTATATTCTTCCATTTTTGTTGGTCTTTTTTGGTTTCTTATAGTAGTGTTTTGTAGTTTTCTTTTTATAGGTCCTTTGCTACTCTGGTTACATTTATTCCTAAATATTTCATCCTTTGGATGGCTATTGTAAATGGTATTGCTTTCCTAATGTCCCTTTCAGTGCTGTCATTGTTGCTATAGAGGAATCCAACTGATTTTTGTATGTTGATCTTCTACCCTGTTACTTTGCTGAATCTTCCAATCATGTCCAATAGTTTGTTTTTTCGTTGTTTTTTTTTTTTTTTTTTTGCTGTCTTTGAGGTTCTCCATATATAGGATGATATACTCTGCAAATACAGAAAGTTTTACTTCCTCTTTGCCAATTTGAATGCTTCTAATGGCCAAACTTCATCTCTCATGTTTCAGACATATTGTCATAAGGGACCAGTCACTGGAGAAGGATATCATGTTTGGTAAGGCAGAGGGTCAGAGAAAAAGGAAGACCCCCCCAATGAGATGGACTGGCCAAGTGGCAGCATCGATGGACTCAAGCATGGCAACAGTAGTGAGGTTGGCCCAGGATCGGGCAGTGTTTTGTTCTGCTGTGCATAGGGTCGCTATGGGTCAGTATTGACTCGATGGCACCTAACAACAACAACAGTTTCCCTATCCTGTCTTATAGCTCAGGCTAAGACTTCGCAAATGTAAGGCTTTCAGTTTCTCTCCATTGAGAGTAATGTAGGCTGTTTGTTTTGTATGTATGCCCTTAATAATGCTTAGGAATTTCCCTTCAGTTCCTACTTTGTTGAGTGTTTTTATAAGGAATGGAAATTGTATTTTGTCAAATGCCTTTTCTGCATCAATTCATATGATCATGTTGGTCTATTCCTTGTGTTTACTTATATGGCAGAATATAATGATAGTTTTTCTAATATTGAACCATCCTTGCATTCTAATGTGAATCCTAGTTGGTCATAATGTATTGTTTTCTTTGATGCTTTGTTGAATTCTGTTGGCTAGGATTTTGTTGAGAATATTTGCATCTATGTTCATGAGGGATGTTGGTCTACAATTTTCTTTCTTAGTGATGTTCTTCCATGGTTTTGGTATGAGGATTATGCTTGCTTCATAGAATGTATTAGGAAGTTTTCCTTCCTTTTCTATATTCCAGAATAATTTGAGTAGAATTGGTGACAGCTCTTGCTGAATGTTTGGTAAAACTCATCAATGATGCCATCTGGACCTCGATTTTTGGGGGGGTTAGGAGTTTTTTGATGACTTGATCAATTTCATTTTTTCTTATGGGTCTGTTCAAGTCTCCTACTTCACTCTGTGTAAGTTTAGATAGGCCTTGCTTTTATAAAAAAGTATGGATCTCTTCTAGGTGTTCAAATTTGTTGGAGTACAACTCTTTATAGTATTCTGTTAGTATCCTTTTTATTTCCATTGGTTCTGTTGTGACATCACCCATTTGGTTTCTTTTGGATGTTATTTGTGTCTTCTCCCTCTTTTCTTTGGTTAGGTTTGCCAATAATTCATTAATTTTATTAATCCTTTTGAACAACCAGCTTCTTGTCCTGTTGATTCTTTCTATAAATTTTCAGTTTTCTATCTCATTTATTTCTGCTCTAATCTTTATTATTTCTTTTTTTCTGGTGACTTTAGGATCGCTTTGTTGGTTTGTTTCTAACTATTGTTGTTGTTGTTGTTAAGTGCCGTCGAGTCAAATCTGACCCATAGTGACCCTGTATAGGGTTTCCAAGAAGCAGCTGGTGAGCTTGAACCACCAACCTTGTAGTTCAAACAGCTTTGCAGTCTGGTGCATTAACCCACAGAGCCACACCAGGACTCCTCTAACTGTTGGAGATGCTGTATTAATGTGCTAA